CCCACCGGCCTGCTCTTTCCCCCTCTACCTCTCCATCAGCCAATTAGAAGTTCCCTCCGCCCCCATGGCCAGCCATAATCTGGTCGTCTCTCTCTGGCGGGGGGCATCCGGGTGTTACAGGCGTTCAGGGCTGCCTCGCTGGATCCTGGCCGCTTGTCTCTTCCTCTCCATCATGGTGATGCTGTGGCTCAGCTGCGCCAGCCTGGTGACCGCCCCGGATCAGCACGTCAAGACCCAGGTGAGGGGGAACCCTTGGGAGGTTTAGGCCACAGACACGAAAGATGTAGTCAGAAGACTGCAGTTGGTTATGAATTCATTCATCCGTTTTTTAAAAAAAAAATGGGGGAAATTTGGGGTTCTGCTTGACTGGAAGAGTACTCCTGAAATCCACATTGCTGCCGTCCACTCCAGTGTTTCTGTGCTCACAGTTACTCTGCATCATGGCTTTCCGTTGCTCTAAGGCTGCGTAAACGTATTAACCTAAAGCTAGATTTGGGTCCAGTAGCACCTTAGAGACGAACGAGATGTTCGGAGTATGAGCATATGAGAGTTAAAGTTCCCTTTATATCAGAAAAAGAGAGCCAGTTTGGTGTAGCAGTTAAGCGTTTCTGTGCTCGCAGTTACTCTTCATCATGGCTTTCCGTTGCTCTAAGGCTGCGTAAACGTATTAAACTAAAGCTAGATTTGGGTCCAGTAGCACCTTAGAGACGAACGAGATGTTCGGAGTATGAGCATAGGAGAGTTAAAGTTCCCTTTATATCAGAAAAAGAGAGCCAGTTTGGTGTAGCAGTTAAGCGTTTCTGTGCTCGCATTTACTCTGCATCATGGCTTTCCGTTGCTCTAAGGCTGCGTAAACGTATTAAACTAAAGCTAGATTTGAGTCCAGTAGCACCTTAGAGACGAACGAGATGTTCGGAGTATGAGCATAGGAGAGTTAAAGTTCCCTTTATATCAGAAAAAGAGAGCCAGTTTGGTGTAGCAGTTAAGCGTTTCTGTGCTCGCAGTTACTCTGCATCATGGCTTTCCGTTGCTCTAAGGCTGCGTAAACGTATTAACCTAAAGCTAGATTTGAGTCCAGTAGCACCTTAGAGACGAACGAGATGTTCGGAGTATGAGCATAGGAGAGTTAAAGTTCCCTTTATATCAGAAAAAGAGAGCCAGTTTGGTGTAGCAGTTAAGCGTGTAGACTCTAATCTGGGAGAACTGGGTTTGATTCTCCACTCCTCCACCTGCAGCTGCTGGTGTGACCTTGGGTCAGTCACAAGTTCTCTCAGAGCTGTTCTCTCAGGAGCAGTCCTCGAAAGAGCTCTCTCGGCCCCACCTACCTCACAGGGTGTCCGTTGTGGAGAGGGGAAGGGAAAGGAGATTGGAAGCCGCTTTCAGACTCCGAGTGAAGGGTGGGGTATAAATCCCTCCTCTTCTTCTACTCCCAAAATTTTGTTGGTCTCTAAGGTGTTGCTGGACTCGACTCTAGCTGTTCTTCTACAGAGCAATATGGCTGCCCTCTTAAATGTCACATACCAAGCCTATGGTGCTGTGTACTTCTGGGAAAATGTGCCTTCAGCTAATAGGAGAGGAGGGATAGGTAAAGGTAAAGGTTCCCTTGCTCGAAAGCCAGTCGAATCCGACTCTAGGGTTGCGGTGCTCATCTCAGTTTCCAAGCCGAAGAGCCAGCGCTGTCTGAAGACGTTTCCGTGGTCATGTGGCCGGCATGACTAAACACCAGGGCGCACGGAACGCTGTTACCTTCCCACCAAAGTGGTACCTATTTATCTACTTGCCATTTCTTGCTTTCGAACTGCTAGGTTGGCAGGAGCTGGGACTAGAGACGGGAGCTCACTCCATCATGCGGCATACTCGGGTCTTGAACTGCTGAACTACCGACCTTCCACAGCCTGCAGTTCAGCGTCTTAACCACTTGAGCCACCGCAGCTCCCTGAGGAGGGATAGGAATATTCTAATAAAGAAATAATAATAACAATTGTCTTGCACTGGGGATCAGCTCTGAACCTCAGCTACATTTTTTTTTTAACTTATCCTTTTGGGAAATGAGCAAGACAGATAAGGGTATTCCCAGTGTAAACAAGGATCCTGTAAAATACAGGGGAGGTGAGACAGTACAAAAGCTACGGAACAGAGGTGTCAAACACAAGGCCTGGGGGACGAACCGGCCCATCCGGGGCTCTTACCTGGCCCGCAAGCAACTGGCATGTATCAAAATGTAAGTTACACGCCCTTTTATGGTATCCCTTCGAAAAAACCTAGTCTTGCATATGATTAAATGCATTTATAGGGGCTTTTGTGGGTTCCACAATTAATCAGTTGCTTTCACTGCTGGGAATCAATTGCTTTTGTTTGTATTTTGTGTAAAAAATAATATTGTTAATTGGGTTCGCCTGTGTCCTTTATAAAATTTATATCTGCGGTACCTGGCATGCGGTGGCTCAAGTGGTTAAGAAGCTGAACTGCAGACCTGAAGGTCGGTAGTTCGGCAGTTCGAGACCCGAGTGCTACTTGACGGAGTGAGCTCCCATCTCTGGTCTGAGCTCCTGCCAACCTAGGAGTTCAAAAGCAAGAAATTGCAAGTAGATAAATAGGTACCGCTTCAGTGGGAAGGTAACAGTGTTACATGTGCCTCGGCGTTTAGTCATGCCGACCACATGTCCACGGAAACGTCTTCGGACAGCGCTGGCTCTTCTGCTTGGAAACGGAGATGAGTACCGCATCCCTAGAGTCGGATTTGACTGGCTTTCGAGCAAGGGAAACCTTTACCTTTACCTGGCATTACATTGCATGGCACACTTGGCTCGGCCAGACAAAATGACATTTATGTCAGATCCAGCCCTTGTAACAAATGAGTTTGACACCTCTGCTATAGAAGATAAAGTGGCCGATAGAGAATCCAGGTTGCTTTGGAGCTGAGGCTTTCCCACTCCGAATCCTCCTAGAGGAATTTGTGAAACAACAGAGCAGATTGGCACCTAAATGAGAGTTTCTTCTGGAGCCCATAAAAGTTTCTGGTTAATGATTTGCAAAGCGTTGTGCCTGAAGCAGCCGGCAGGGCAAATGCAGCCACAGGAAGCGAGATGTTCTTTGGCGAAGAGGAATTCTTGCCTTGCAGCATCCAGAAGGATAATGAAAATGCAAAGTTGGAAGTTTGAAAAATAGTGGGTGTCATCATAACCTCAGGTTTTAGGGTCAGAACCAGTGTTCCCTCTAAGCTGATTTAGTGTGAGCCAGCTCACAGTTTTTTAGCCTCCGGCTCACACATTTTTGTCTTGGCTCAGGAAGGACGGCTCCAGAGCAAACTAATTTACGCAGCGGCCAAATCGCTTGCTCACGACTTTAACGCCAGCTGCTCACAAAGTAGGATTTTTGCTCACAAGACCCCACAGCTTAGAGGGAGCATTGGTCAGAACCAGTGTTCCCGCTAAGCTGAGTCAGTGTGAGCCAGCTCACAGTTCTTTAGCGTCCGGCTCATGCATTTTTGTCCCGGCTCCGGAAGGAGGGCTCCAAAGCGAACTAATGTATGCAGCAGCCAAATCGCTCGCTCACAACTTGAATGCCAGTCGCTCACAAAGTAGGATTTTTGCTCACAAGACTCCACAGCTTAGGGGGGAGCATTGGACCTGTCAACTTTACCGCCAGATGGCTTTCCAGCATGGCCCATGGTTCAGCAGTAGAGCATCTGCCAGGCATGCGAATGTTTCCAGGTTTGATCCCTGCCGTCTCCGGTTAAATGATCGGGCAGTAGATGAAAGGAACGACTTGAGCCCCCTAGAGAGTTGCTGCCAGTCTGAGTAGACGATACTGACCTTGACGGATCAAGGATCCGAGACTCAGTGTAAGGAAGCTTCATGGGTGTTCGTTTCGTAGCTCATGAGCCTCGATGACGGGGTGGCTCCTACCATTGAATGGGCGCATAGGGTGTGCCCTTCCGCTGGAAAACAGGGATCTTAATTTACGCAACATGTCGTTGAAGAGAGAATGCTGGCTGAAGACAGAAAAAGGGGCCTCCCGGCTGTACAAGAAATGTTCTGGAGGCATTTTCCAAGATCTATCCCAGAGACTTGAAATCACTGACAACCAACGAAACATCACTGGAATGAGGGTACGTCATCATCAACGCTCCCTCTAAACTGTGGAGTCCTGTGAGCAAAGATTCTTACTTTGTGAGCTCTTGGCATGAAAGTTGTGAGCGAGCCATTTGGCTTGCTGCATCAAGTAGCTTGCTCTGGAGCCCTCCTTCCTGAGCGAAGACAAAAATGTGTGAGCCCGGAGGCTAAAAAAAACGGTGAGCCAGCTCACACTAACTCAACAAAGGCCTCTGTCACCATCTTAACCCCTGTTGGTCAGGGATGCCGGACAGGGTTCTCCCAGTGTGATTCGAAGCAGAGTTATGCTCCCTTATGCCCATTGTCTTCAATGGACTTGGAGGAATTTAGCTTTGTTTAGGGTTGCACTGGAGCTGCGGTGGCTCAAGTGGTTAAGCCGCTGAACTGCAGGCTGTGGAAGGTCGGTAGTTCAGCCGTTCAAGACCCGAGTGTGCCGCATGACGGAGTGAGCTCCTGTCTCTAGTCCCAGCTCCTGCCAACCTAGCAGTTCAAAAGCAAGAAATTGCAAGTAGATAAATAGGTACCACTTCGGTGGGAAGGTAACAGCGTTCCGTGCGCCCTGGTGTTTAGTCATGCCGGCCACATGACCACGGAAATGTCTTCGGACAGCGCTGGCTCTTCGGCTTGGAAACGGAGATGAGCACCGCAATCCTAGAGTCGGATTCGACTGGCTTTCGAGCAAGGGAAACCTTTACCTTTACCTTTTTAGGGTTGCACTGCTTATTCTTGTTGGAGGAATCCATGTTGTTGCTGTTGGCCATTCAGTCGTGTCTGACTCTTGGCGATTCCGTGGGCCAGCGCTCTCCACATTTCCCAATCTCGTACTGTTTCTTTGAGTCATTCCCTGCTCAGGCTGGTGTCGGCTTTTATGGTGTCTCGACACCGTGTTCTTTGGTGGCCCGGTTTCCTTTTGCCGCTAACTGATCCAAGCACTAATTGCTTTTTTCTAGTGAGTTCTTCCGCATGACGTGGCCGAAATAAGTCGGTCGCAATTTTTCTGATTTCCCCCCCCTTCCAACGGCATGTCTGGTTTTATGCACTCCAGTACTTGCTTCTTTGTCACCTTTGCTGTCCAAGGAATGCGCAGGAGTTTTCTCCAGCACCACAGCTCAAATGAGTCGCT